TTGTGTGCGGAAGCTTTTGGAGAGCTCTCCGTACACTCTCACACGTCCGGAAGTCTGAGAATACAAAGAACGTATTATGTTTACAAACTTCCGGGGCATTCCTTGGTGGGCAAGCGTCTCAAGAAGAACAGACCGATCAACCGAGTCGAATGCGCCTCGGAAATCCAGGAATACTAGAATTGTGGGTCGCTTATACGTATGGCGTTGTTTTAGCACCTGACGCAGTGTGAACATTTGGTCAACACAACCCCTACCAGGCCGGAATTCCGCTTGCTGCTCCCGAGCCACCGTAAGGCGACGAAGCACAGGTGACGGCAACAGTCTCGTTACAACCGGGGTCAAGCTGATTCCCCTGTGGTTATCACACTAACTCAGCATGAACTGCACATACACAAATTGTGTCTCAACAAAATATCCACGCTTAGTACCTAAGGTAGAGGTCATCAGTCGAGAAATGAAAAATACCAAAATTACTTAGACTTGGTTATAGTTGTTACGGTTACAACAGTCATCATTGGTTCCTGTGTGTGTCGACCTCAGTCCTGTACAGAAAACCTTATCTCATTCGTCAAAACTTTCGTCGATGGGTAAAATAGGCCGTTTTGCTGTATGGCCACCGAAGGTAAGAAAACGATATGAAGTGCTAACATCATACATTTGAGTTCATTTTTGTGAGGAATGAGTTAAACATGGTCACATTTCATTTGCCTAAAGTTGGGAATTTGAATTTCCCTCCACCTGCAGTTTTGAACAGTCTTAAACACGCATCTCGAACCTCGTCTCAGTTGCTTGTACGGTTTGTGCATTCCACCCTCTTTCCCAGCTGGACCAAAGGAACAATCCATAAGAGCTTCAAAACGACCATAAGGAGGATTGGTTAATTCTTCCAATGTCTGCTTGCAGCCTGTTCGCAAAGCACGTTGAGAAGTTTAAGACTGTCTGAGAAGGCCCGTGAAACGCAGATTTCAGTAAATTACGGCAGTACTGACTTAGTTTCAGAAGGTAGGAGTATAAAAAGCCCCGCATAAAGCTTTGGTTGTCTCGAAGACAACGGACTTTCCACCTCGACTGCTGGCGTTCACAACAAAATTGCCAAAATCCGAAGGAAAATTCTAACATTAGTTCGACAACCCGACTAGGAAGAACCCTCGTTGTATGGAAATCCACCTTCTCACAACAGACTGGTTGTGAGAAGGCCTCATTAGCCCGAGAATAAAGCTCCTGCATAGAAGCCCATTTTTCAACCGGCATGCTGTACACAAGCTTTTTAGATGGCGAGCTCTGTCATCGTTTGCCTTTGCGTTGGTCTGATATTTGCGGTGCAGAGGCGGACGGATCAGCCCCGTCGTGTGTCGACAGTGATGGAACTGGTGGTCGTCTGACGTAGCTCCCGGCACAGTCGTGGAATCGAGATTACGCGACTCATTGCGCCGCGGCCAGGTCAAGTGAGATAATGATGAAAAATATCTGTGCCATGGTGAATTCTGTTGAGATATGGCACAGATCTGCTTTCGGTGCTTAAAAACTGTCTAGAATATTCCCCTAGAACGGGACGAAAATCCTTCAAATTAGTCTGATTATCGACAGATAAACTGATTTGTATATCAGTTTGGCTTACACGAGAGTCACTAAGTCACTTGTTCATGATATTCTTCCAATTCGGGTTCAAGTAAAAAATAAGATTGACAGAAACTCGGGCACTACCCCTGCCCGCTAAGTTCAAGAAAGGTGGAACCGGTCGCGAGCTGTCGAAGAGTTTGCAGCAATTTCGTGAGTAGCGTCCTTTGTGATTGTCTATTTATGTTTGATTTGTTGAGTTTTCCGTCATAAAAATCTTGTACACCTTGGCTATGATCAAGCTGCAAAGAATTACCCAAAACGTTTTCCTCGACAGCCAGAAACATTTTTTTACAGCCCACACACAGAAGTATCGGTGATACGAAACGAACAACTCCGTCAGGTAGTTCAGCATCCGTTATACCAGTTTGATGACAGATGTGGTTAGTCGCCCACCAACGGCGAACGGCCGATGAAAGAATGTGGACGTCACGCCACTTGTCACAACACACATGACACTTTTAAGTCAGTCTGTTTCGAACTAAATTAAAGTGTATACCTAGTATCACATCACACCCTATGTTGACGCCCAAACACTTGATCGTTTTCCATTTCACGCTTGATTCTACTGTAACCTCCTAGACATCTATAATTAGTCGGTCCTAGCAGGTTTTTTCGTCAAATGGACCCAATGTTTCAGCGCGTATTTTCGTGACAGTAGCTGTGTCATGACTAAAACGCATACTCTATTGATTTCGTTTTTGTATTTCGATTATCACAGTCACGTAACATACAGTTTGGCTTACGTGGGCTTGTTTGACCACGCCTAACAGATCTCGTCATATGGCTTCAGTCAATCCACTTCTAGATGTGGTTGGTACAGATGGGTGAAGAAACATTACAGTATGTTTGTTTGAGTCCATTGCAAAAAGATGTGCGAATATGTTGTATACATGTCTGAGTTGCCATTGTTGTGACTGAGTGTAAAGCGTTTGTTTCTGTGCATTTAGTGCAAGAAGATTTAAGGATTTTGAAGGAATTTCGTCCCAAACGTGAAGCCAATCTCTGATGAGAGCCCTAGAAGCACTGCACAGCTCTTTCATCCTCAGTAGAAACAGTTACAGTGTACATCTCACGAAACTCAAGGGAGATCCGAAACCAGCGACATTCGGGGCAATAAATCGAAAGAGACCGTTCTGCTGCCAACGGTTGATCAGCAGTGTGCTTGACTCGCAAGATTAAGTAGCTTAGAGAAAGAACAAAATTAACCCGATGAGTGAAACTTCCGTCTCGGAACTGACCACTCCAGCAGCCAAATAACATGTGCCCGCGTGATGTGGCTTACCTGGTCGAATGATGTTTGGTGCTGTATCTCGTCTAAGTTTGAGTTGTTCACAATGCTGATCAGCCTATTGTAACCAAACTTTTGGGTTCAGACAGTTAGCTAAGAGGTCATGGTTTCCATGTTGCTTTGAGTTTGGTGAGGTATGTAATGCTGATGATTACCGATCAGGATGAAACAGGTGTACAGTGCTTCTTGGATTTTCAGCAGAGGTTTGCTTTGCCCACAGGACAAAATCCAAACTGATTTCTCCCCAACTCTCTCCACATTATCGTCAAATTAATTCGCCATCTCAACCAGCGTTTCTGGAGTCCCTATTGTTTCGATGTAGGACAAGCAGCTTTAAATGGGTGTAACATAAGCAACCGTGACTTTTACCTTGTTCAAAGGGTCGCTTCTCAGTTTGGTGACAAAATGTAAGCCCCACTGCAACCAAATGAACCCCGTTTGCTATGCCGCTGCCGGACCGGTAATATACAAGCACAAATAATGGTAGTTTATCACTAGAATCAGGAATGGTAAGGGCCAAAATGTTACTACCGGGAATAAGAATCGATAACGTAAAACCAGATGTTCAATGGGAGTGTGCTATTAGGATCAATATTCAAAAGGCAGTAGCTTGTACTTATGGTAA